ATCCGGGTCGATATACAGGTTGTTCGTTTGTAAGTCAAAATTTTATACTGTCACTACGGATTTTTTTTTAATCCCTTTAGTTTTAGAGTTATTCCGCTAAAACGAATTTGGTACTTCTAATGCGCAAAATTCAACATCTCCTGTCGCATGTCACGCGAACTTCAGGCATATATTTGTTTCATTAATTTGGGCGGAGCCAACGTCAAAATTTTTTGGCATGAGAGCTCTTAATGGTTCTCGGGTTCTCAATTTTCCCCTGGTAGTCGCCGCTGGAGGAATGAATGAGATTGACATTCACAGTGTAGATTGCGACTAATTTTCCATGGACGTAGAACCATTCTTTGTTTTAAAGTATAGAATACGGTTTTTGCTTTAGAGTACCGACATTTCAGTAAAAGGTCCCCCCTGCACCCTGCACATTCGGTATTTAGCATAGATTTGACAATCGTTTCCCTACCGAAAGGCGCTGGTCTGTCCCATTGTTCTTTCTTCAGAGTTCTTTATACTTTTTCGCGCGCAAATATCTTTCTTTTTTTTCCACGGACCGAAATTCGAAATTTGGACTTCGTCACGATCTATAGAATTGTATTCTTAAGATAATTTCAAATTTCCAGCATATCGGTGGAGGAATTTCAAATTTCATATATCGTAGATTGATTGTGCAATTTGATTGGATACCAAGAAAGTGTCACTCGCTGCGCTTCGGCTATAAGAACTTCTATAGAGCTAAAATAGCTAGCTAAAACGTATAACAAGGTAAGCTACAGCAGAATACCAGTCTGTACAAAATTCCGCCACGTCATCCAGATCGCCGACCTTATTGTCTCATACCACTTTTGATTGCCCGTGCTTTTACTTGATTTGTAATTAGGCACCACTTATATACTATTGTAATATAAACAATTTTATTATTACCTATACTACCATGTTATTGTAATAACGAAATAACTAATGGTCTCATTTTGTGATAAAATTATCGCAATATCGCCTAACTTTTATCAATTCAGAAACATATTTATTGTGCTTGCGATCCAATACAATCCCTCAGTAACACTTTAAACTCACTCAGTGTAAGACGTGAAGTAAATTGTTACGCTGGAAAAATGGACAAATTGTTAACAGTAACTGTTGATGGGGAAGTTTTAAAGTTCCCTTTTGTCTGGCTACGAGATAATTGCCTGTGCGAGCAGTGTTTTCATCCAACAGCAAAAAGTAGAGTTTATTGGAGTGACTTACATCTCAAGATCAAACCCAAGGAGATTACTGAAGGTAAAGATTCAATACAAGTTACTTGGGAAGACGGGCACAAATCTAACTTTGAATACAATTGGTTAAAAATAAGAAACTTTACTCCAGAGAGCCAGAGGAAATATGATGAAGTAATTTACAAACCAACTAAAATAACTTGGCATGGTGAAGAGTTTAATGATATATGTAGTAAACATGACTATAACCAGATTGTGAAGACAGATGAAGCACTTTACAACTGGCTGTATAAGCTATCTGTATATGGTGTTGCTATAGTTAAAAATACACCAAATTCTGAAAACGCAATTGATGCAATTATAGACAGAGTTGCTTTTATTAAGAGAAGTCATTATGGAGTGAAATTCGTGGTACAGCACATTTCAAATACAAACAATCTAGCTTATTTGAGCAATAACTTGCAAATGCATACAGATTTACCGTATTATGAATATGGTCCTGGTATCAACATACTACATTGCTTTGTTCAAACTGTAAGCAAGGGTGGAGAAAATCTTCTGGTAGACGGTCATTACATAGCAAAATACATTAAAAAAAACCATCCAGAGGAATACAAACTATTGACTGAGGTTGACATAGAATGGAATGACATGGGTACTGAAGATGGACGTGAATTCTTCAAGCTGTACCGAGCTCCAATCATTACCTTGGACAAATACGGAGAAGTTCAAAGAATTAACTTCTCTGTTCCTCAAAGATCGAGTCATTTTCTCACTCCTATTGAAAATATCGAACCCTGGTACAGAGCTTATAGTTTGTTTCTCCAGTTATGCCATAAGTTTGCAGGAAAATTCAAAAGTGAGCAAGGAGATATTTTGGTGTTCGATAATATTAGACTTATACATAGTAGAAATGGATATGTGGACAATGAAAATAATGTACGGAAGTTAATTGGGGCTTATATAGACTGGGACGAGATTTATTGTAAATTGAGATGCCTTACTATGAAATTAGGGTATAATAAAGGCTTTAATTAATAGTGTAATGCTTTTCACAAGAAAATTACACCCTAGACATATTTGCATGTCTTATATCCATGGTTGTGGAAAGTAGCACACAAATTCTTACACAACTTAGTAGTTTATAGTGTGATTGCAAAATCTGGTCTGCTTCTAGGAAAGAACTTGGTGTAATACAGCAGTAATGTTTCCAATATACTTCGTTACTAAACTGCAGATTTAGTTGTCGTGATTTTACAACAAGCATCATAATAAGAAACAGACTTGGGAACAATACTTTATATTTTATTGTGTTGTATTAGGGAGGCACCACACTTATTGATGCAGAATTGCATTAAGCCAATGAGAAAAAGCTTGAGTCCATGAATTTAAGAGTGAAAAAGATGTGCATTTTGTATCCATTCATACTAATGCGAATCAACACAGGTTGGCAACGTATCTGCTCCCTGCGAATTTGCAACTACGACGGATGGTCCTCATAACGTCGAATGTTTGTGTGAACAGCTTATCGATAAGACAAGTAAAACACCATCGCATTGACTATTCCACATTAATAAGTTGGACAACTCCCTTATATTTACAGAATTACTTATTACAATATCTCTGGTTTAATTATATACAATAAATATTAAATACCTAATGTGTTAATAAATTTTATTTTATTTCTATGTATGTGTCCAGGTTATAATTTCTTATTGCTAACCTTCTTAAAGGTAGTATTTTATTTGTTTCCTCACTCCTGTCGTCCACCTCTACAAGGGGGAATTCTTCAAAATCCGGGTTTGAAGCCATTGCAACAGCAGTAGACTCGTTTGTATGAAGACTGATAGTAAAACTGCAGTCGTCCAGTGTATTAGTGTATTTTCTAGTCATTGATGCTAAACTGAGGCAAAAAGCACGTAGATTCTGCTCAGTTTGGATTAAGTATGCGTCAGTCGTATCCGTGAAATTTTCATTGATAGTTATATCAAAGATAAACTTTAAAATTGGTTCATGTTCACCATTAGTAACTGCAAACTCTATACGTGTCAACTGATTGTTGTTCAGACATTCTGCAATACTTTTAAGACATAAATTAATGTATTCATTCACTTCAGGATGTGTAGAGCGATAAACAACAACGTTGTACTTCTTTCTTATTTCAAATATGCTTGCTGGGTATATAGAAACGTAATATAGAATGTTGTGGAATGCAACCGACAGAAATTCTATTGTAATGTCCACAAAGCAAGGATCCATTAAGTACTAATAACATAACACAGTAAGAAAGCAACAAACAATAAAAATAAATTTTCACACGCACCAGCCGGCGCAACTGGCTGTTTCTCAACTCAACTCTAGTATTATTAAAAATGTCAAAATGCGCCTTTTTTGTGCAATTATGTGTCATTTACTTTTTGTACCCAAGAGCTTTGTGTAAAACTTTGCCCACCAAGAGACTCGGGAGAAGAATTAAAGTTAAAAATACGCTCGGATACTAACAAAGCAGTTTATTCGCACTTTACAATTTCGCAACAATTCTATAAGACGATATACAGCCGTTGGATAAAAATGTATTCGAAAAAGTGTCCGGATCGTATATTTTTTATTTTTATCTTGACTATGACATGCGTTCAAGAAATCAATTACACGTTATAGAAGCGACCACTTTTCGACTACAAAATCTAATGAAATTAAACATAAATTAAATCGTCTATATTACTACCATTAATACAATTTGCTTACATTTGTGCATCTAATTTGCGCTTAGAATCTGCCTTAGAGGATGGAAAACAATAAAAGAGTAAGTATGTAGTTTAAATAGTCTAAGGAATTTGCGCATTGGCTTTATTAAGCAAAAAGTACGCTGATAAAGAACCATCAGTCTTGAACAAGAAACAAATAACTCAACGCGGCGTATTCCAACTTTGAACAAATTAAAATTCTAATTGCCAAAACCCGTCACTTTTGTATGTATACATTAACATAAGTACGAACTACATACGCAAGCTGATTGCAGTATTTCACTATCTTTCTAATTTGTTTTAAAGTTTTTCTACATCACACAAGGACTTAATAAAAATCGTCTTACGTTAATTTTCAAAATAAATTCATAGGGTAGTTCACTAAGTAGTCTGTGGGTAGTTACACTATTTGTATGAATTTGTTTTAGTTTATGTATATGTATGTATTTTATTTTTTAATAAGATTATTACGTTTTAAGTTTAATACTTAAAATACTTTATTCAAATTCAAATTCAAATCTTTATTTCGGATAAAATATCGATATAGTGTTAGTCACAAATTACTTAAAAACTATGGTAATATAAATCTTCTAAACATTGCTCTTCCATTTTAATTATTTGCTGTAGTACTGTTACAGTTTCAGGCTGATGGTTCTGTGGCCAGTGCTTAATAAATAAATAATAATTAAAAATAATACATGTTCGTTTCATTGTTATCATTGTGTTGTGCTTAGAGGATGGAAAAAAAAATTCCATAGTCTAAGGTTTTGTCATTGTCAATGTCAATGTAAATTAAACAAAAACAAAACCATTTTCCATACGTAGTATCTCTTATTAGTTTGTGCATTTTCCATTCAAACTTGCCCTTCCAACCCCCGCTCCAACACAAATGATTTAATGCGCAAGGCACTATTATTGATTTCCTAGCGTTTTAGCCAAAGAGGTTTTAGCGTTAGCAGCGTTAAGATCTACACCTGAGAATGGCCCACAACTACTTAGTTGAGGAAATACAATTACGCGCTGAGGAAAGGTGGATTCTGGAAGCATTAAAAAACGTTAGAAACCAAAGAAATTGCCTTCATGTAAGTTTAAATTTAACTTTTTTCATGTTTTGCATTGATAATCGTATTTCCCGCTGTAATAATTGAGTTAAATAATTTTTTTTTCGCACATGCGCCATTGCTGTATCGTTTTATATTGATTGACGCAGATGCCTAAGAAGTGGAAGTAACGCGTTTACAACAATCAATCTTACCTATTAAAACGTTTTATTACCTAAAGATAGTCCTTCTGCAGTGCCTTTGCTTATTCCAGATTGAACGGCTACAATTGGAGAGCCTGAAAGTTAAGCTCGAGAAGTTGTTACGACAGCCAGGGTATGTGTAAAAGCTTACTTTATGAAATTTTGTACGAATCTAAAACATTGCATGTCAATTAAATGGCATTAATATAAGTTAAAATTTACCAACATACATAATTATATACCTACCTCTCTTACCAAATTCAAGCTAGCATCAGATTTAGTTGATAACAAAATCAAATAATCATTTATTCCATAGGTAACATTTTTACACTTGACTACTGCTCGTTCACTACGCTGACCTCCCTGAGAAGAACGAGCAAGAAAATCTAGGGATTGCTCTTTTCAAATAAACTTAAATGCTATGGAATAAAGTTTGAATCATAATTGTGTGGAATCTAGACTTGTTGTCTCTCCATACTTCTTTATCTAAAACATACTCTTCAATTTTGTAATGTCTTTTCAATTAAAATACTTTTAATGTAAGTTTTAAACTTAGGGAATGATAATCTTAATGTATTCTCCGGAATCTTGTTGTAAAAATGTATACAGTTCCCCATAAAAGAATCATTTACCTTAGTTAAACAAAATTGTGGTACCATGAGTTTGGACTTAGTTCTAAGGTTAATATTATGGATATCTTTATTCTTCATGAATTTATGTATATAAACAAAGGCTTTCAAGTAAATGATAAAATGAATATATACAACTAGGTATTTTTATATGTTATCACATGATAGCTGCATAATTTCAGCTTACATCCCTTTCCCCCATCCCATATCCGTACAGGATGCCCTGCATTTCTATGAGCACCTGGCCAGTCAATTTACTCCAGCTGTGCCTACAGTGCCAAACATTGTAGATAAGCTCCACCACTGGACAGGAATGGTATCAGTATGCTGGCTGACTAGAGCTTTGACAGGCTTGAACAAACACATGTCACATATAGGCAGCGAGAAAATAGAAAGTGTAGATTCTACTACGAGGCGGATGAAACTCCCGTGCATCTTCTCACCTAGTGTTGCCCTCTGATGGGCGTTATTCCTTGTTTTAGCCAGGAAAGTTCTTCAGTTCTTTAATGCTGTTGACCTGGGCTCCGAACTATAATTAGTGATGACCACAATAGATCAGTTGATAGTGGTGAATATAGCCACCCTAATCATAATACTCGAACTGTCATAAAGCAACAGTAAAAATAAGTAAAAACATTAACCACATATTTTAAAATATTTTCACAGAGACCCAATGGCCACTCGAGATCAGAGACCCATGACAGCTGAAGACCTGCAACGGCAACAGCAGCAGCAAGAAATCCCATCTGTTCCTGATATGGACGACCCACAAACTTCTGGAACCATTGCACCTGATATGTGCTTTGATGAACAGGAGTGTAACCAAGTAGACCTTGACTTGGATGTCCACCGACCTCCTGTGCTTGGTAAGTGATTCTATCTACAAAGATGCGAGAAGAAACATTACACACATATTATGTAGGTACAGTTAAGTGCCTCGAATATTACTACAATAAATACATATTCTAAAAGGTACCTACTCTTTCAGGGCTATTTGACGTTTTTAGCATAAACAACTTACTAATAACAACAGGGCAAATGGTCATTATCCTGTCCAAAAACAAATAAAGGCACTAAGACTACATTACACAATGTTTTATGTAATTTTAAAATGGCTGATAAATTATTTTTGACACTGAAATTTGGCGCTAGTGAGACTGAAATTTTCACTTAATCAGTGTGTATTGTATATTTTTAGTTAGAGTTTATAAACTGATGTTTAGTGGGTTGTTGGTTTTTGATGAAATAAAAATAGTGTTATATGAAAGGATCAACTTCATTGACTCTCTCGTAGGTCAAAATGATAATAATAATAATGAATAAATCATTAATTGTGGACACTTGGATCCATGGCGTTAGTTACAATATAACTTATTTAATTTTTTATTTAATAGAAAAAAATATGTACAGCTTCATTTTGGCTGATTGAGTTTCAGTAAGTCCATTGACAACTAAACCAAACATCCATAACAAACACAATTAAATGTGGCAACATTATTGATGTTAATAGCTGTCAGTTTGTTATTCCTAATAAAAAATGTGACCATTGAAGAAATTATTTCATTAAATCTTTTTTGTCAGCCATTTGTTATTGGAAATATAATATTATTATGTCAAGCTTTATTTTTTTGCATGGCTCAGTGTTGCTTTTATGTTATCTGTTCAGACAGCCCAAACTTGAATGTCATAGTAACGTTATGCACCAGGAAAGTATGGCCCAAAATTGAAGATTACTATACTTTCATTCAGATCAACTATTTCACGAGGAATACGAAGATTCTGAGGATGAGAGCGACGATGACGTCATCTTGGATATGGACCTTCTCATGAACACACCTAGGCGAAAGCGCGGGGCAGCCTAGGTCTTTTAGAGAATACATTTTATGTATGGTAACACTTTGGGCAATGTTCCATTCTTATTTTTCGAGTTTCCTACATGGATATGGGACGATATACTAAAACTTCATGCGCTTCGTAGTTAGTAACCCATTGAGAGCAAATAAAATGAGATAAAACTTCATTGGTGTATCATTTTTCAGTTAATTAATGTTAAACATTATGTTGCGCTTATTTATATACCATTTTTGCAATTCCATTGGTTCGGAGAATTCTCAATGGTTTATGGCAAATTCGATTCCCAGTAGAACACATTTACAAAGACAAAATGTTCCAGGTAGTGCAATCATTTCTTTAATTCGGTACCCTAGTCTTACAAAAGGCCTTACTCGCTAGCGTCTGTGTAAATATTTGTGTGGCAAATTCCCATCCTCAATATAAAGTGACTTAATTCGATAAACCACGTTTTTGGAAAATAAGTATAAAAAGAAAACGTTTCGTGCGTTTAAACGCTATAATATCGTTTTTCGAGTACAATTTCGTAAAAGGAAAATCTATTTCGTCCATTTCATCATCCGCCCATTTTATACGTCCCACAGTTGGGCACGGGTATCTTCTCATTCCCGACGCATTACACGTTTTCCGAGGGTTGTGAACCTTCTCCGACGTAGGTTTCATCACGCTGTTTTCCTTCACCGACAAGCTCATGGTAATTTTCAAATTAAACTTCGCATGTAAATCATTGTAAATTACGAAAAACTCAGAGGTGCTACCTCAGGACCCCTATTCAGAACTCCTCGATATTTTAACCGAATCCTTCGATTGGATATCGTTCTCGAATCGAAGGGCACTTTCCAAGCTATTCAGAACGTTCGGATACGATATCGTTAGACAACAGCGTTTACGGTGTTAGTCGGTGAAATAGATAAGAAAAAGAAAAATTCTTTTATATACATTTTCGAAACTTTGAAGGCCTCAAATATAGGAATGCATTAGTCTTGCATTGAAATAAATCAATAAAATTGGACAAAATCCAGCCTTTATTACTTGCTTTTGTAAACAATAGGACGTTCGGTAACGTTCATTGGATAACTGTTCTTGAATAACGTTTGTAGAATTTGATGGTCGAGAAGTTCGAGTAATCGTACGGGTGTGACGTTATTTCGGTTCGGTTTCGAATACGACATTTTGACGTTCGATTCGGGTGTTGTGAATAAAAATGCAAAAGAAATCGGTCGACAACTGAGTTATCGTAAGGTTCTGAATCGACCCCTTGATTCGAACTCACGGCCTCTGCTTCGAATCGAACGTCAAACTATCGTATTCGAAACCGAACCGGGATGACGTCACACTCGTACAATTACTCATACTTCTTGACCGGCAAATGCTACAAACGTTATTCAAAACACAGTTATCGTATGAAAGTTACCGAACGTCCTATTGTTTACAAAGCAAGAACGTAATATGATAATCTTATTATTTTAAATAAAGTCTGGATTTTGTTCAATTTTATTAATTTATTTTAATGCAAGACTAATGCATTCCTTATTTTAGGCCTTCATAGTGTTAAAAATGTATACAAAAGGATATTTTTTTTTATAATCTATATTCGCCGACTAACTTTATAAACGTTGTTGGATAACGATATCGTATCCGAATCGAACGTTATAACTCGAATGTTCTGAATGATCTGAATCGCGGTCCCGGTACAAATTGCAGTTCTTGTGTCCACTACGGGCCTGGTACAATTTGCAATACAAATACCTTACACAGGCCGTTGCTAGCAACTGCCAACAATGTAAACTCCTGTTAAAGGTTCAAGTCTTTAACTAGAAAATTGCTAGGGAACTTTACATATGCTATGAGAAGTCTTGTGTCTAGGAATCGTTGCTATTATATAACCATAGTAATTGTCAACTCATTTCACGTTTTTTCACCGTGGCAGTGTTATTCACTGATAGGCTAGTCAAAATGTTGCTCTATTTTTCAAGCTTCAAATCTAGAATCGATCTTATAATTCGTTACAGATGAAGAATATTTACAAGCTGGGCCGTATTATGAATCCGACGAAGACAGCGATGAAGATGACAGCGACCTACAGAATCAAAGTGTTTTCCAAGAAATGTTATCTTGGATGATGACTGAAGTACAGCAGCTGAGTGAAAGAAACAAGATCCGTTTACTTCAAACTTATTACGCTGATCCAAACTATGTAGTTGATGTCAGCGCTGGAATCGCAGAATTTGAGGATAGAGAGTTTTTCTCTTGCATCGTGTCGGATCTGATCCGGACGAGTAACCTTAATAGGATGCGTTTGCTAAAAGGACGTGGAAATAGCGCCAGGGCTTAAGACGAGGAAATTTTTATCTTCATACAGGAACATATGCTTCAGGGTGTCCCACGGCTATGAGACACAGAGGGAAAGTATTTTAAATACTGTTAACCGACGAAATGTAAAAAAAAAATTTCTGTATTTTTACGATGCCGATCGAAAGGTTCGAAAAACGATTTATTCCCATAGTATTAATTTTACTTTTAGGAAAATTAATTATAATACGTTTTATTGTCGATATTTGTACTTCAAGACCGGGCTCATAACAGTCTTGAGAACAGCCGAATCTCTTAATGATTGTTTTTTTTAACTGATTCCCGTGCCGGGCGAAATATTTGTATGGCCTACATTTATTGCTCTCGTCAGTTTGATTGTAATTTGTGGTTGTCTATGTGTGTATCCATGGCACCCGCGACACAGGGTTTCCCTAGTGCGGGGCTATGTTGAGTGTGTGTGTTATTATTAGAATTCTTCCTGGATCAATACACATCGCCTGTGATATCTCCAGACCTGACAGTATCTTATACGTGATGCGTGATATGCGATACGTGAAAGATTTAACAAACAAGAAGCAATTTAACAATGTGGACTTATAAACGGAATTGTGGGGTATTATTTCGAATATTAGACTAGAAGCGCTGCAGTTGTGCCACTGTCGCGCTTAGGTACTTATCAAAACGTTGAGAATTTACTTATAAGAAGATGGATCTCATTTTGAACATTTGATAAATTCATTGCAAACACCATAATATATAGTAGGCAGTTTCGAGTTTGTTCTTTTTAAAAAATTGTATAATTGAACGGTTATTCTATAGATGCGCCTTTCCCAAATACACAAATGAGGGCGAACTTTTGAAGTTTTTTGAATACTTACTTTTAAAAATAAAATAATGTATCCTTGAAGCAACTTACATCATCTACAACATTTGAAGTATTTTATCGCCTTGTCGCATAGCCGTTGGACGTCCTACATAGAGTCGGACATAGCTTTGAACTTGTTTTTTATTTTAACGTCGCAAATCTTAAGTAATATACTATATGTGAGCCATGGCAAAATCTTGTCTTAAGTAATAGATCCGTGGCAGCCTACCTTAGCATAGTAAGCTAAATCTGTGTTCGACTGTACATCACCTTATGTTTTTCATTCCCATATCACACCCAACCAATGATCTTATTTAATGGCTAAATTTATTTTTTCCAAAATATACCCTTCCCTTTGTTCTTTAATAAAACACAAAACGGCATAAAGAACTGCTGCAAATAAATGGCAACGCTTAAAAGAGCTTTTTTCCTGTGCTTGTATGTATCATCGATTCACCGTTAGCAGGCAGACGTCTATTGCTGAAGGTATACCTCTCTGATATTATGCAGTTCGCAACTAACGACTCCTAGTGGAGAGCCGTAATATATTGCAGTACACTACACTGCGGATCGTTAACTGTCATAAATCTACGCAGTGAGAACAACTTATGTACTCTTAGGACTTAAATTTAATATAATACAATAGTAACGTAAGACTACAGAAGTTTCACTGTTTTAGGAAAATTCATATTTTGAAACGGCTGTTATACCTCTCAAAATTCAACCTGTCATTCAATTCAGTTGTTTATTTATTTCATTTTAATATGAGGATGTTTCAACAGCGTTATTAATTATTTCGCTATTAACTTATCAACGTGTAGACATAATAATAGACTAAGGTATTTTTTAACTGTTAAAGTTTTTTATTTATTAATTTTTATCCGAGTTTTCGGCAAGGTACACCAAGCAAGACTGGAGTGGCATTTATCAAAACTGCATGTGGATACCGTCATTACCTACTCTTATTTATAATAATAATTGTTTGGGTTTATGCAGTTGTACGCAGCGTAACAAAGATACCGTCACATAGGCTCGGATCCAGCTGCCATTTGTACAGTAAATTGTAGGTTGTAGGTAATGTTCGTTGTATGTATGTCATTGAAAACACAGAGATGGGTTGAGAGAAAGACAAAATGAAATGAGAAAATTTTAAAATTAAACTTATAGAAAAGAAGACAGGAATGTTACATAGAGAGGCAAGAAAATAAAATGTATGAGAGTGTGGGGAAATGAGAAAATGAAAACGTGTGATAATGAAAAGAAGCATTTATTTTTTTACGTTTATGACTATTTTTTAGGAGTATGAGCATATAGTTATTACTTGTTAGTAAGTGTTTAATCAAATACAATTCAATCTATTAATTAGCCTTAGTAAGATTTTCATCGCACTCCAGATATGTCACACATTAGTTCGCGTAACCAGTTAGAAAGTAACTTTCAAACTAGTCACTTGTGCAAAACCTAAGAAGAGGGCAAACCAGTAAATTGTAATAGTATGTAAGGCTAGAAACAAACTAACGAATTCGCCTTATTAGTATTATGTTTG